GTTTTAGATGACATGCAAGCAATACCTGATTGGGCAAATGTGGCAGTGGTATGCTGTGAAGTAGTTCAAAGGAACCGTTCATACTTATCACGCGGTACACTCACCATCTCCCTTCCAAAAGTAGATGTAGATGTGGGAGGAGTTCGGTCTGCCTGTTTACTGTCACTGATATCAACCTCACCTACTACAGCATGATTAGCCCATTTAGAGGGAGGGCCATGTAGGTCATAACAAAAATTCACTGTGTGTTCTTCTCTACCACAATGAATACACTTCCTTGTAGAGTTATTCTTTCCTCTACCACGGCCTCCCCCTGAGTCACGACCACCCCGACCAATCATGGAACTGCCACGGCCTCCTTGGGGAGCATGACCTCCCCCTCTTGTACTATGTCCACCTCCTCTAGCTATCACAAGTGCTGATCTATCAGACTGTGTGGAGTTCTCTGTTTGTCCCAAAGAAATTCTACGAAGCCTTGAGAATACTTTCTCAAGTGTAGGAAGAGAATAGCCCCCTAATATTTGGGCTCTAACTAGTTCATACTCCGACTTCAATTCCACTAAAAATCTTGTAACATCTAGTTGTTCCCTTTGCTGTTGCTGAACTTTAATATCTGGAGTGAGGGGATGATGGACATTGAGTTCATTTTTGTTTTTTTGATCAATAACACTTTCATTAATCATCAGTAGAAAATTTACAAGAAGAAGATAAACACACTTATCTTCCACGAGTCTAGACATTGAGTTCATTCCTTATATTCTTCATGTAGGCATAGTACTGTTCTAGTGTTTTGGTTCCTTGTTGTAAATCAAAGTACTCCTGATAAAGCTGATATACTCTTGTTGTGTTATCTTGTCCAGATATAGCTTCTTAGCATGCTCCTATATATCCTTAGCCGTATCAAGGAACATGAAGTTGACCCTAATTTTGGGCTCCATACTATTCCACAGTCAAGTCATGATTTGAGCATCTTCTTGTTCCCAATCATCAAACCCTAGAGAGTCAGCCAGTGGCTTCTCATCTTTTACATGCTTCACTTTCCTCTGCCTTGAGAAAAACTTCCACAGATTTAGCCCATGGAACGTAGTTTTCCCCATTCAGTTTAATTGAGGTCATCTGTACCCCTAGGTAGTCGGGGGAAACCACCACACTAGGTTTCTGATCATTGTACCCATCTCCTATTGCTGCCATTGTACTCTTT